ATTAAATAATAAATAAGTATTAGACAAAGTTTAGGATTGTCAGAATTATGGAGAGGGTTTAATAAGAATAATTAGTATTATTAAGGTAAGTACTTATTTTGTTTATTATTATTATTATTGGTAAGTAATTATTATTATTAAATAATAAATAATTATTAGACAAAGTTTCGGATTGTCAGAATTATGGAAAGGATTTAATAAGAATAATTAGTATTGTTAAAGTAAGTACTTATTTGGTTTTGATACTGCTAATTCTACGTAAGCAATAATAAAACGAATCCGAGACCAATTAAAGCAAGTAAATATCTTTATTGATCGCGGTAAAGGCCCTAAGTACAATCTACTTGGTTGCTCTGAGTGCCGACTGACTGCGGTCGGGATTCTCTAGTAACAACCTATCGATCGTCCAAAAGTCCTCTACACTGTAGCTACTGTGGGTATTTATAGCCGCTTCGCCGGAGACACAAATCCGGTCGTTCGGCATGCCCCCCACGTAGCCACCACTTGTCACCCTCCCGGGTGCCCTATCTGTCGTCATAAAGAGCCGCCACGTGTCCTTTGTCAGCTCTCTCGCCAAAGGACTACCGCTCGATGATTAACACTATCGCTCGGGCCACTCCCGGTCGGACCCCGACCGAGTTCTTCACATGAAGCCCGACCTGTTACCTGCAAAGACAAAGAGAAAAAGACGAAGGCAGCTCGGTCGGGGTAAAGCTATATCGGTCGGGATATTCCCTACCAGGTTTATTATTATTATTATTATTGGTAAGTAATTGTTATTATTGAATAATAATTATTAGACAAAGTTTAGGATTTTCATAATTATGGAGAGGGTTTAATAAGAATAATTAGTTTTATTAAGGTAAGTAATTTTTTTTTTTTATTATTGGTAAGTAATTATTATTATTAAATAATTATTAGACAAAGTTTAGGATTGTCAGTATTATGGAGTACTTATTTTGTGTATTATTAGTATTATTGGTAAGTATTATACAGTAGTAAGGAAAATAAAGTAAATAAGGTAATAGCATTTGCTGAGATGATTCGCTGATATTCTTTCCAAAATAATCATATCATAGACGCGTCTGCCAGCTTTTAGAAACATTCCTTTATCAGACCTTCGGTGGCTTGTTCCATAGATGCGTCTATTGACTTCACTGATCAATCAGTCTTCTTTATGGACGGTCAGACATCAAGCTAAACCCTCTCTTAATTTGCCATAATAATATTGCCAATTACATGTTGAGATTTTTCTTTAAAATAATAAAACACTAACAATAAGTTTATTTTTTAATTTTAAAAAAATATACGTCGTCGGTTTTTTAACCGACGTCGTGTCATTTATGTACTACGTCTCGAAGGTCGACGTTGAAAAATAACCGACGTTAAATGGGGTTATTTAACCGACGTTAAAGCCCTTTCCTGTGGTAGTGGTGGAGTGAGCAGTTGAAATAAACTGACTCACTAGGGAGTCTAAAAACTCTCTGTTTTGAGGATTGAGCAGTGATGTAAAAGCTGACTCATTAGGGAGCTGAAAAAACTCGTTGACTCACTAGGAAGCCGAAAAAACTCTTTGTTTATGAATATCTATTTTGAGAATTTGAAAATTCTCAATTTGGTACCCATTTCTCCTTGACGATATATATATCGACTGTTGATATCTTTGAGAAATTCTAAAATGTATTCTTGTAAGATATTCTCTTGGAAAGAGATTAATTGAGAGATTGGAATTCTCTCTATGGTAATATTATTTTGAGATTATTTTAAGAGATTGAAATTATCTCTTTGGTGATTATTTTGAGACTTGAGAGTTTGGAAACTCTATTTGGTTATTATTAGAATTCTCTCTTTGGTCAATATATTATGATTTAAAGAAATTTTGAGTAGTGATGTTATGAAATGTTGATGATGTTATGAAATGTATTGAGGAAATGGTTATATGGAAATGTTGAGGTAAAAGGTTATATGGAGAATCTTGAGGAAAGAATTGTTGAATGATTTTGGATTACGGATGGGTAATGCCTCGGTCTCTTAGGAAGTTTTATGGATATCTTGATATATACATAAATACTTGGATGTGTGATTTACTCAATTTATATTTTAAAATGGTTAAAGATTATTGGTATTGTTGAGAATAAAAATATTCTAAGGGGTTTATGTGTAAATTACATGCTCCTATGTGTTATGTGCTATGTGCAAATGTTTTACGGGGTGGAGTAAGTCTTACCCGCTTTATGATGAACTTGTCCCCTCTTTAGTTATGTTGCAGGTAATGTTGCATGAGCATTTGGAGCATAAGAGCGATTCACCTTCTTAGTTTTGAGTTTAGAAGTTTATATCTTTTTAGAAAAAATTGAGAAGTCTTATTTAGACATTTGTATTTAATGCATTGTATGAGTATAAATTATGGGTTGTTTTTAGTAGTGTTGTTTTAGCCTGTGCGTTTGGATAAATGTTGTAGAATTCACCTCGTTTAATCAAAGAGTATCAGCCATTGAGATTAGGCTTGGAATGGGAGAAACCTTCAGAAGCAACTTAGCAAAGTGTGAACCCGAGTTTTGTGTTTCATGATGGTGCATCGTGGGTCTTTAGACCAGGTATCCGTTTAAAGTTTTCTTGAAATCTTAGAAAATTCCGAGTAGTAGTTGGAATTTAGTTAGTGCTCAAGTTCTGAATGCTTGCATGAAATTCTTAATCCGTATTCCCAAACTATCTCTATTACCCTTTTGTATAAACAAAGTCATTTTGCAACCTTCGCAAATCCTACCCAAAATTTTGAACCTCCCATCCCTACCGATGAAATATTGTTTTGTTAAAAATGTATCCAAACCACCTCTCTGTTTATCCTGGCCTAAGCGTCGGGGACGCAACTTGTTTTAAGGGGGTAGAATGTAACAACCCGAAAATTTTCCCTTTAAGTTAAACCTATTTTACAAAATCTAGTCAAAATTTTTTTTCAATATTTTGTTCCTAAGATGGCTAGTGACTAGTATAAATAAAATATTTCTTTAAAACCCCTTATGTTGAATGATTTAATACAAAAGTCTATTTATCAGCTTCTAGGTCAGATTACGTAGATAACCCTTTGAGGTGTTTAGATGACCAATGTCTTTCTTGTAAAATCACCTCAAGACTTAACGGCCTTCTCCCAGCACATACGCTCCTCAGATAGACAGTCTTGTAACAGTTCAAGTCTTCATAGATGCTTCTGATAGATTCCTTGATCAATAAGGTCTTCATATTCAAAACTTCAGACTGACTCTGACTAAGCCAAATCTAATTTTCCATAATAATCAAGCCAATTACATATTTGGGGTTTAACTGCCTAATAAAAAACACTAAGATCTCCTATTTGGCACCTCAAAAACCGATCCAAAAACCTCACTATTGAAGATGCTCTAAATGTTAGGGTCGCAGAAACTCGATGCGTTTTTTTTTTTTTTTTTTTTTTTTTTTTTTTTTTTTTTTTTTTTTAAGAAAACACGTCCCTTTTGTTTTAAAAAAATTAAGGTTTCTTATGAATTTATTTCCAAGTTTTTCACCGCGTTTGTTTTAAAAACCATATACTACCCTTTTTTTTTTAGAGAGGATGGCGAAATGTCACATTTGTATGCCATCTTTTGTATTAGTGGTAGTATTATCACTAAACTCAACAGAATGTGCTCCACCTACAAATCTGCAATAGTATTACCCAACAACCTATAAATGTTCCTTGTGATCTTTTCCCCTTTCATCACAATTAGGGCACCCTTACTGATTTTAATGGCTCAGCCTCTCTTTCATTACCAAAAAAAAAAAAAAAAAAAAATTAGCATGCAAACTCCCAAGCAGCGAATAAGGTTCTTAGTTAACCCTAGTATATGTATAACATCATGCAAAGTTCTGACAATGCCATCATACATCTGGATGTTAACATCACCAATACCCACAATATTATGTAATCTATCATCACCAAAAAACATAACTGAAAGTACCTGACCTATAGGTTGTGAACCATTCCCTATTAGGCGTGCTATGATACGAGCATCCCGAGTATAGGATCCAAGCATTTGACTAGTAACTAGCTGAAATTGCTAGAACATCACCTTCACTATAATCTAAGTCATCGGCCTATATACAATTGCAGCCTCTTTGTTGCTTCTTGAACTTTTGATATTCTCATTTCATGTGCCCAAACTTCTTGCACTTGTAGCACCTAATTTTATTATTGTTTATAGAATTAGACATGGAGTCTCTCTTCCTAGAATTGTCCTTCAATTCACTGGCTTTCTTCCACGATCTTGACTCCCCTTAGCATACAAATTGTCACTAACAGAGCCCTCACCTACATTCTGCCTACACTGGTTATTAGCTAACTGGGCTGCAGAGATATCCTTGTATTTAATTTTGACTTTCCCATACGTAATAGTAGTCACCAGATGTTCAACGAAAAGAGGAAGTGAACATAGCAAGATCATCGTCTTGTCTTCATCTTCAATCTTGACATCAAGCCTGACTAGATATTAATATGATACACCAAGTCTGAACCCTACTGCATCTTAAACTTATAAAGTCTCTACTTTGGATACAATTTGCTCGTCAGAGATTTTTCTATGAACTAAGTCTCTAATTTATCCCAATTTTCTTTTGGAGTTTGCAAGGCCATAACGTGCTACACGAATTCTTCCACGAGCCATAACTGAATACATCATTGTGTCTCTAGGTGTTCTATATATCACCATCACAATTAATAAAATAATAGCTTCAATTTCGTGAACATAAGTACATTATATTACAGAACCACATAAATCTTGTATTTTTTACTTTTCGTCATTATTGTTTCTTCTTGTTCTTAATCTCAACAAAATTTGATCACCAACAAAAATTTAGGACATACCTATTGATTTGTGTACGTGATGACGTGGACGGATAGCCAATTTTTTTTATAAAAGTAGTAAATAAATATAATTAAAGTGTCGTAACATTGGTTTTAACTATGTATGCCATGAAGGTGAGTCAACATGACGCTTGGTTCTCTCTCGGTCTCATCTCCCCCGGCGGTGACTGATAGGTCACCGGAAGATCAAGATCTTCTCGAAAGAAGTACCAAGAAGACGAAGAGGGGAAGAGAAGAGCAGTCAGTCGCATCCACCCCAAGGCAGGGCGAGCGTGGAATAGAACATGCAGAGGGTTCTGGTACCCCTGACTCCGGCCAGTGGAAAACACCGGCGACGACGCCTGAACAAGCCTGGGTTCAAAGGGAAGGAAAACAGATAGCTGAGGACGAGGAAGAATCTGAAGATGAAGCGATGGAGGAAATCGAAACTCTGAACGGATACCCAGTCATCCGAGTCTCTAACGAGGAAAAGGAGAGGTTGAGACGGCCATGGCGCCGGTCGCTCATAGTCCGACTGCTTGGAAGGACGGTAAATTACCCCTATCTGTACCAGAGACTCCAACGCATGTGGCGGACAGAGTCTCCGTTTGATTTGATTGCTTTAAACCATGACTTTTATATTGCAAAGTTTGAATCCATGAAAGATTATGAGACTGCCAAATATGGAGGCCCATGGATGGTATTCGACCATTACCTAACAGTTCAAGACTGGAGACCTAATTTCGATTCAAGAACAAACAAGATGGAAAAGCTCTTAGCTTGGATCAGGTTTCCGTCGCTCCCAATCGAGTACTTCGATGAAAAATTTCTCAAGAAGATAGGGAAGACGATTGGACGGCCCGTCAAGATCGACGTCACCACCAGCCTTGCATCCAAGGGCAAGTTTGCAAGAGTTTGTGTAGAGTTTGACATTACCAAGCCTTTGCTGTCACGATTTGTCATCGAAGGTGTTGAATGGCCAGTGGAGTATGAGGGAATCCACTTGGTTTGCTTCAAATGTGGGGTGTATGGCCATAGGCAGGACAACTGCATAGGTTCTGAAGGAAATTTGTCGCAAGAACCCAACAATGCTTCAGCTTCTTCTGCAAAAACCTGTTCTATGCCCACGGAGAAGTACGGGGCATGGATGCTAGTCACACGCAGGGATAGACGTAGGGGTGGCAACCAGGTTAATAGACAAACGAACACCCCCTCGAAGGACAACCAACAAGTCAATTCAGCAGGTGTAGCTCAGATGGCAGAAGGGCTAGGTGAGCAAACCAGGTTTTCAGCCTTAGATGGCCTAGGCGAAGGCCAAGAAAACTAGGGACAAGCCACACAGTTTACTCCGACCAATTCGCAACACCCCAATGCGGGGCAACCCCAAATAAGAACAAACTACCGGAATCGCAGACCGCAAAGGGAAACAGTAACGGGAGGAGAGGTCACGCGATCTTCTGACCAAGGTGGCATTCCAGCTTTCAACCAAGCCACTGGTCGAGGAAACCAGCGCGGACGAGGTGGAAGAGGAGGAACCCCCAACAGAGCAGCATCTGAGCTAGAACACACAGTGGTGCGCGGCTCCAATGGAGGTCGCAACATCACTAGCACAGTAGTCCACCACAGTGAGGAACACCTGGGCTTCAGCTTCATGAGTGGGACGGAGGAGGCCCACGAGTTTGAACCCCCCAATCCTTTGATTAGAACTGAGAAGGATTATAGGCACGACCCCCCGGATCCAATGATAGGAGTAGAAAGGAGATACGACAATGATCCTCCTGATAATAGCCATGACCACCCCATAACGGGTGATTCCTTGACAGAGGCTATGGTAGATGATACTGGCCAGATTGACCATGGGATTGCGGTCCAGCAACGCCTGAGTGCGTTGACTGCTCCATCCTCTTCCTAATGATTTTCGTCGTTTGGAATTGCCAGGGTGCAGCGTCTAACTCCTTTAGACGCACCCTGAAATTTTTACTGAGATGTCATAATCCTGTTTTTATTTGTCTGTTGGAACCCAAGGTATCGGGGGACCAAGCTAACAGAATTTGCTCTAGTTTTGGATTTAATGATTGGATTAGGGTGGAAGCAGTAGGCTATTCGGGTGGCATTTGGCTACTATGGAAAGGCTCGGCCAACATCATAGTTACGAAAACTCACCCCCAATTCATTACAGCACATGTGCCCGAGGAAAACAAGGATCCATGGCAACTATCGCTGGTATACGGAAGTCCAAACCAGCCCCTCAGAAGACAGTTGTATTCAGAGCTTTTCGGCAGTAACAGTGGGTTTGATGGTTCATGGCTAGCAGTGGGAGATTTCAACGTGGTCACGTCTAGGGAAGAAGTGAGCAACACGGAGGGCTTTACACAATCTAGGTGCGCCAACTTCAATGAGTGGATCTTTAGAGAAGGCTTGGTGGACCTCGGATACTCAGGCTCCAAATACACAAGGATGAGGGGCGTGAATACGGACTCGTTTAGGGGGGCACGACTGGATAGAGCCTTGAGCAATATCGACTGGAAACTTCAATTTCCCAATACCATAATTCAACATCTACCTATGGTAGGGTCAGACCATGCTCCACTCTTGGTGAACACCGGAGCAGTTCAGGCATTAAGCAGGCCAGCCTCGTTCAGATTCAATGTGGCATGGGCGACACATAAGAGCTTTCAAGCATTAATTAAGGACAGCTGGAGGAGTGACCTTGACTTACACACAAACAAGAAGAGAGTTGCAGAGATTTTATCAAATTGGAGCAGAGACATTTTTGGGAGTGTTACTCAGAGGAAAAAGAGATTGTTAGGAAGGCTAGAAGGAATACAGTGTAAGATGGCCCAGAACGTGAGGTCGGACATGATCAGACTGGAGAGGAAATTAAGGCTTGAACTGGATGAGGTCTTATACCAAGAGGAACTGACCTGGTTCCAACGCTCAAGGGAAGAATGGGTGATATCTGGGGACAGAAATACACGATACTACCAAACTGCAACTTCGATCAAGGCAAGCAAGGTCAAAGTGTCAATGCTAATCGATGAAAATGGTCAGGAAATCACGGGTAAAGGAGAGCTAGTAGAGCATGTTCAAAGCTACTTCACCAAATTATTCACGGAGGATTTAGGAAGTGAGCCAACGTCCCTGGACCATGGCCACTTTCCAATAATTACTGAGACAAAATGGAATGAGTTAAGTGCACCGCTGACATTGGAAGAGATCAAAAGCAACTTGTTTGATATGGCTCCTTGCAAAGCACCCGGTCCTGATGGGTACTCGGCAAGCTTTTACCAGAAGACGTGGGGCACAGTGGGCGAGTGCTTATTAAAGTTTGCTACGAAATTTTTTGATGAAGGATCACTGCCGGAGGAATGCAATGACACTATAATAACGCTCATACCGAAGATCCCCGAGCCAAAGCACGTCAAGCAGTTCCGACCTATTAGTTTATGCAACGTCTCGTATAAGCTACTAACTAAGATCATGTCCTCGAGGCTAAGGAACATCTTAACAAAGCTCATCGGCCCCCACCAAACCAGCTTCGTCCCAGGAAGGCAAATTTCAGATAATACCCTTGTGTTTCAAGAGGTGTTGAGCTCCATGAGGAACAAAAAAAGGAAAAGGGGGTTGGATGATGATGAAGATCGACCTGGAGAAGGCCTACGACAAACTTTCATGGGAATTTATCAAGGATACTCTACAGGATATTGGATTCAACAACACATGGACAAAGCGGATTATGGAATGCATTTCTTCCCCCAGATTGGCAGTCGCGTGGGAGGGCCAAAGAACAGATTGGTTTAGACCAAAAAGAGGAATAAGACAGGGAGATTCCATCTCACCTCTCATTTTTTTTTATGCGTAGAAAGACTAAGTCATATTATCTTAGAATCAATCAATAATGGGTGTTGGAAAGGAATTAGATTATCTAGGCAAGGCCCTAATATTTCCCACCCCTTCTTTGCAGATGACCTAGTCCTCTTCGGCGAAGCCACCGAACAACAAGCGAAGGAAATGAAGCGATGCCTGGAGTTATTCTGCTCACGTTCAGGGTAGAAGATCAGCCACCAGAAATCGAGCATGTACTTTTCTAAGAATGTGAAGGAAGACGACAAACAGAAAATTGCAGAAGCAGCAGGTTTTCCAATCGTAACCAACATGGGATACTACTTGGGAATTCCCTCTGTAACACCCCGTGTTACGATCCCTAAAATCAATTAAATCATTTAATCAATTACCCAAAAGAAAGAATTAAATCACAATAATTAATTAGGAAAGGCCCACCATAGTCCACGGGCCCTTATCTCTAAACCCAATCCTTAGTCCCAAAAGGAATAGAATTAGCAAGCCTATAATATTAGTTCCTAATTAGGACTCCTAAAAAATATAAATAGGGGACTTAAGAGGCACATAGAAACCCCCCACCACAATAACGTCCCACCACCCCAAAGAGCTCCAAGAATTCACTTAGAAGAAATCAAGAAAGCAAGGAAGCTTAAAGAAAGACCCTTCATAGCCAAGGAATTAATTAAGGCTAAGAGGTAACCCATGTCTCAACAAAACCTATTTTCATAGCTATGATTCCCCTCTTAGGATTTCCCCATATTATTGTGTATTGATGATTTGTGATATTATTATTGATAATCGGTGGGATGATTCCATGGGTAATCTTGATGATGAGAGGTTCTTGATAATTATGGTGTTCTTGATGATTATGTGATGTTCTTGATAATTATATGGTGTTCTTGATGTTCTTAATGATTATATGAGGTTCTTGATAGTTATATGATATTCCTACCGAATCTTGATTTTGGAAGATGAATTGTGTTCTTGTTGATTTAGAAATAATTAGAACCCTAGGTTATATCGTGGAATTCGTATAGTATTATTCTTGGTATATTGGGTGGGATTTCGCATGATTGGGTGTTTATTATGTTTAGAAAAGCATGATAGGTTATGTGCCGTTTGTTTCTTGATTTTGATCCGTTAATTGTCTACGTGTGTTATCAATTGCGTTTGAAAGTGTCTAAGCATGGTTTCGGGTTCCACAAAGGTTCCCGGGGCGTTTTTGATGAAAAAGAGTCAGTGGGGGGTAGGTGGGGGTAGGGGACCCGCCACCTACCCGCGGCCAAATCAGGCAACACCGGCAGCGGGCAGCCGATGGGCGGGCAGCTGCCCGCCGGGCACCCGCTGCCCGGATTTGTAGAACGCCGGCGGGCAGCCGGCGGGTGACCCCCACCCACCGGCTACCCGCTGGTTTATACCCCACATCGGGATCCCGGCTTCCCCGTTTGATGTTCCCCCGACCCCGTGGTGTCCCAACGGACTCCGTCTATCGTGCCTATGTCTAGTTTGATTTTCGGGTACCGTCCGTAGGTCGTATGAGTCTTATATACTGCATGCTAGTTGAATTGGTATCCCGTTGACCTAGGTGAAAGAAGTATGAACCCCTTAGGACTATTCTTAGTATGTGAAGGATCACGCATAGGTTTTGTTATACGTTTTCTCCCCCTTCCCAATGTGTCAATGTGGGTTGCATGTGCTTGCTATATGTTATGTGTGCATGTTATCCCGACTTGGTTGAGATCAATCGGGCTATACGGGCAGTCGGGTGGGCTGAGAACCATACCGGCTGTTAACCAGGCTGGTAGAGACCGGTCAGGTATATAAATATTATATAGGACTAAGATCCACTATACGGGCAGTTGAATGGGTTGAGAACCATCCCAACTGTTAACCAGGCTGGTAGAGACCGGTCAGGTATATAAATATTATATAGGACAAAGGTCCACTATACGGGCAGTTGAATGGGTTGAGAACCATCCTAACTGTTAACCAGACTGGTAAAGACCGGTCAGGTATATAAATATTATATAGAGCTGCGGCTCATCGGTCGGTTGCGATCGACCCCTCCGTGCTGTGAGACGGGGCAGGGTGCTGCGGGGCCGTGTCAGAGCTATTTGCGCTGACCCTCATGTATGGGCATGCGATTGGTCCTGTGGCGCCAACAAAGTGTGTTATGTGATGAAGTATGGATGAGTTGTTGTTATGAGTATCTTGGGGATGAGACTATGGGATTTGTACCGGAGATCGTATATGTTGGGTTATGATTATTAATTGTGATTATCTTATCTGTCTTGCCTGTTGTAAACTGTATATGCTTGGTATAACTGTTGTCTGTGCTTAGCCCTATCTGTTGAGTCTATCCCTGTTTCAAAAGCTAGAGTTCGTAGGAGATATCTTCATGTTCAAAATGACTTTTCATATATCTATATATATATATCTATATGTATTGTATTTCAACGCGTTGGAGTGGGTTACCAGCATCTCTCGCTGAACAGATATATTTGGCTTTCAGGCACAGAAGAGTAGGTCACTGGAGCGCGCTAGAACTTGGAACGTAGAAGTAGATAGCTTCCCTTTCGGCCTGCATGTCATGTTTATGCGTTACATTATTGAGGATATTAGTTAGTTAGCCTGTGCACCTGAGTTCTCTAGCTCAGGTGTGGCATAACACCCCGTACTCTTGTATTATGTTTTGGGATTTAATGAGATTTCACCTTTATTTTATAAGTTTTAAATATCCTGAAAATCTGGGGTGTTACACCCTCTATCCACGAAAGGCTCAAGAAGGAGACATTCACTGGTTTACTGGAGAGAATCCAATCCAGACTGGCAGGTTGGAAGACCAGAACGCTCTCACTAGTAGGAAGAGTAGCCTTGGCACAATCAGTCCTCTCGTCGATCTCATATTACTCGATGCAAACGATGCTATTGCCTGCAGGTGTGATCTCTTCGATTGAGAAGACTATTAGGAGCTTCATTTGGGGCAGCAAGAATGGTGAGAGGCACTGCCACCTTGTCAGCTGGGAAGTCATAACCAAATCTAAAGATCGTGGAGGCTTGGGCATTCCAAGACTAGACTTAATGAACCTGGCCTTTCTTACAAAGCTAGGATGGAGGTTAATAAAAGAAGAAGATAGTTTGTGGGCGAGAGTTTTCAGGGCGAAATATGCAGCCAACTCGAATTGTGCAATCTGGAAGCAAAAGCCAAACCAGTCCAACGCATGGAGGGGTATACTTAGAACGCTGCCCATCTTACAAAGAGGCATCAAGAAACTAGTGCGGAACGGAAGGGGTACATCCTTTTGGAACGATAGGTAGATCTCTGAAAGGCCGCTGATGGAGATGGCAACAGAAGCTATTCCAGATAGCGAAGGGAGCAGAAATGTTGCTAGCTATTGGGACAAGGAACAAGGTTGGCTTTGGGGCCAATTCGATGACCTTTTACCGGCAGAGACACTGAGCAGGATAGCAGCCATAATCCTAAGTGAGGACGAGGAGGCGCATGACATCAGCGTTTGGGGAAAGGAGGTGTCAGGGAAGTTTACAGTTAGCTCAGCATATGACATAGCAGCAGGAGAGCCAAACAGAGTGAAGGCTTCCAAGTGGAACAGCATTTGGAAGATCAAGGTCCCAAACAGGGCTCGTACGTTCCTGTGGCTTGCGACCCATGGGCGAATTATGACAAATAGCGCCAGAGTAAAGAGGAAAATCTCCGATGATGATAAATGCTGGTTCTGTCGCGACAAAGTTGAGGACGTAGAACATGTCCTACGATCTTGCCCAGAAGCAAAGGCAGTATGGGAGATTGTGTGGCCTTCGCAGGCTGCCAACAACCTTACGTTTGATAGATGGTTGGAGATAGGAGTAACAGACAGAAAGATAGGAAAACATCCTTACGACTATAACGCCCTATTCGCCATTACTGCATGGTGGCTATGGAAATGGAGGAACGAGGCAATCTTCAACAACTCTAAGAAGCAGTTAGGCTACAAAATCGCGTGGATAAAAGCACAAGTGGAAGAATGCAGCAGAGCGTTTGGGAGAGCTAAGGGAGTTTCAGCCCAACAAAACCAAGTGACTTGGAACAATCTCTGCTGGACAAAGCCTCCTCAGAATTCTGTGAAAGTTAATGTGGATGACTCGGTTAATCCCTCGACAGACAAAGCTAGCTGTGGGGGCGTAATCAGGAATAGCCATGGGAACTGGATGAGTGGATTTACGTACAGTATAGGCAGTTGTACGCCCCTAGAAGCCGAGGCTGGGCGCTTTTAAAAGGTGCCCAACTGGTAAATTCGATGAAGGTCAGAAGAGCAGTATTCGAAACTGACTCGGAGGAAATCGCGAAGTTCATGAATAGTGACGAAAGGCCAAGAGTTGCCGCACATAACATTCTGGAAGCTTGTAAGAAAGAACTAAGAATCACAGAAAGATGGCAGGTAGAATCAATCATCCGGAACCAAAATCAAGTAGCAGATGCTCTCGCAAAGTCCTCGGCCTTCTACCCTCCAGGACTGCACATTCTATGGGAGCCTCCAGATTATGTCTTAGGCCTCCTAGACGATGATACTAATGGTGTACCCAGTTGGTGAGTTACTCCAGCTAGTAGTTAGATGTACTCTTTGGGTGTCTCCCTTCCAACTATATAAAAAAACTATGTATGCCATGATTAACATTTAAGCGTTTTAATTGAATAATTAATAAACACTAATACTGGGGTGAACCCGAACAACAAGTACCTGGTGATGAGCTATGCCACATTCGATTAATACGCAATGTAATGCCTTAAAATCTGAAAGTGGTAGATCAGCACTACAGAAAACAATAGATTGTATAGTACACTACAGGGGAAATTAAAATCATTAAAGTTGATTGAAAATTATTCAAAAATAACGCAACAAAAAGTACGTATTGAGTACTTTTTAAAGTTCACAGAGCAGCCATCCCTTTTTGTCTGGCCT